AGGAACAGGTATAAGATTTATTCCTTTATACCCTAGGAAGAAATCAATAAAGTAACAGACTGCCTTTGTTTTAATAATTCTCAATGCTCAGAGAACATTCTCAGTTAGTGGAAAAGAGGTTTGAATTTAAGACCTATTTTATGTATTCACAAGCAGTCTCAGAAATACCCTCCCTGTCCAGAGCTAGTCCTTATATTAGATTGGGAGAAATAGTAATCTTGCAACCCCACATGCTGACCATCTAATCAAGAGATTGAAGGGATAAGTGATTTTTATGCTTACTGTATGCTATCAATGAAAAGCATACATGAACATATCTTTATGGAAATTCTTAGGTCATAATAAGAATCCCTGGAAATAATCCAGTCTGGAGAAAAGAGAAGCATTTATTCTTTCAACAAAAAATTCATAAAAGCCTTCTAGGGATTATGATGTGAATTCAAAGTTGAATATGATAGAGAAAGAGGACCAATATTTACTGAGTGCCTATAATGAGCCAGGTACCATATCACAATTTTAAGTATGCATATAATTAACCATCATACATTTTATTAGCTTCACTTTATAAATGAGGGATCTCAAGTTCAACATCCTTAAAGACACTTGCCCCAGATCACACAGCTAGTAAGGCACTGTGCTCTAATTCTGTCTCTGGATGGCTCTAAGAACTATGTCACTTCTATGACACCAGCCTGCCTCCTATCCTGAGGGAGATCACCAGTCATCTGAGAGTAAGCCTCTATTAATCAGTATAATAAGGAGGCAGGTTAATTTTTCCTGAATCGTTGCCTATAAGTCTTTTACAGTCATACTACTTAGGGTCTTTTGTTTTGAGTTATTTCAAATCAAAGACTTTTTTGGATGAATCAGAGAATCTATTAATTATACAAGGTACACATTTCAAATAACACCAACTCTTCTGAAAACGTAAGTGAATTTATATGACAGAAAGTATTGACCTGGAGCTTTGCCATGGTTAATGATAGTAAGCTCTTTACAATATACATTACTATTGGAAACCAATGTGCCAAAATTAACTACTGACTCAATTTCCAATTGACAGATTGGAATCAACCTAGGGGAGAAGAAAAGAAAACCACATAATTAATTTAACAATCATAACAACCCCATAGTTAAATCTATAGGGGAACATATATAAACACTTTTATCCTAACTCTTAAAAAGAAATTTCAGTTTCCTTACAGTTCCACTGATGACATACTTGTCGATAAAAGGAATTATGAAATAATATGAAAACAAGATAATGAGACACATTTTAACAAAGAAATCAGACTTTACTCATCTAAGTGCATCGTATACCATCTCAAATAAATAAAGTAGTTTGAATGATGCCAAACCTGTAAACTAAAAGAAGGCAGTGATGCTGTAACATAATAGCTGGGGTCTAAAACAATATCTATGTACAAAATGATACAACTGATTTTTTCACATGTGTCTCTAATTTAAAAAGTTCACTGTAGCACATCTGTAGCATGTGTTTTCATACATGTTTTAAAAATTGAGTATTATCCTATATACACATCTCATAAGGATGCATATAATTTCTACTTGGATAGTAATTTATAGTTTACAAAGTACCTTTAAGTATATTACCTTGTTTGATGCTGCCAAATTCCTGAAATTTAGGGAAATATTATTATCACTCCTATGTTACAAATCAAAAGCCAAAGACTCAAAAAGCTTAAATGACTTATCTAAGGAATTATTTTGATATAACGTTGGTGAGCCTAGCTTAGAATTCATTTTCTTAGGCTTCAAGTACATTACTCTTACAAACCTAACCATGCTAACAACAGCACCAATAATAAATACAGTAAAAACTGATCCTTATTGAGTTCTCAGTTTATGTGCCAGAATAAAATGGTTTCAGTCATTCACTCCACATAGAACACAACCTGCCAAATGTAAACACATACATACATACACACATAAATACATAAATAAGTTTATCTTAACAAAACATTCACAGATACTTCTTTATGCAGTGGTGGTCTTGGTGTTCTTTCTGGGATGCATGTTTATATGTGAGTGTGTATTATTGACTAGGTACACACATTTCAGGGATCAGCCAGGACTATCCAAGATATGCTACATCTTCTAAGGAATACCAATGTTCTTTTCAAAAAGAAATTGTAATTTTGTGGCAGAAAAAGAAAAAATGGATGATTTTATATACATGATTGCATTAACCAGACAAGACAGATTCACAGCTAAATTATATCAGATCTATAAAGAACTGATACCTATGCTACAGAAATTATTTCACAGCATCAGGAAGGAGGGAATCCTCCTTAACTCATTCTATGAAGCCAAGATCACCTTGATATCAAAGTCAGGAAAAAAACACAACAACCTAGTAACAAAACGCATTCCAGTTAAGCTCATTCTTCTGGATCAAAACACATCAGGTGAGCCTGACAATACCAGCCATGGGGATCAATGGGAAGGTATATCAGTCATAAGTGGTAAGGAGAAGCATTGTTCTTCTCTGCCAGGCCTGAGATGTCCTTTTCTGTCAAGAGATACCAAGGTGGTTGGGCAAAACCTGGGAAAGAACCAGCAATAGTAAGCAGCTACATCTAGAAAGCTTCTTTATCTCTCTGGCTCAATCCTCTCCTTCCCCACTCACAGACACCTGGAAGGGTGAGCAGAACCTGCAAGAAGGTCTAGATAGAGCAATGTACCCAGCACAACAAAATTCTTTGCCACATAAGTCAGATTTTCTCTCTTTATTCCCAGAGCATCTGGGCAACCAATGGGTAAAGGATTATATAGGGTTATATAGGATTCTCAACACATTTCTCCTCCGCCAAGAGACATCTGGCAGCCAGACCTGGAAATAATGCCTCCACCCCTTTAGGCACCACCAGCTGGGGACATGGGGAGCACCGGTGATAACATATAAACCAAATGAATCAAAACAATACCACCAAGGTATTGAAAACTAAATTGCCATGGCCACCACAGCATACAAACATATGCCAAGAAACATGCTAAACCTCAATAGGGTGGTTGCTTGTTAGAATAATGGATTTAAATAAGGCACAGAGTTTCGTAGCACAAAAAAAGCCAACATATAATCAAAAATCACCTGTTATACTATGAAGTAAGAAATAATGATTTTAATGAGGAAAGATAATCAACTGATTTCAACCTCGAGATGAACCTCAGGTTGGTATTGTCTGAGGATTTTAAAACAGTTGACAAAATAATCCTTCAACAAACATATTCAAATTTTCTTAAAACTAATGAGTAAATAGAAAATCTCAGCAAAGAAATACAAGTTATAAAAAAGGAATCAAATGGAAATTATAAAATGGAAAAATATAATAACCAAAATAAAAACTAAGTGATGAAGA